CTCGCTGGCACCAGGGCCGCCAGCAGGGCCCGGAGAGAGCCGGGGCAGGCGGGCACAGAGCTCCCGGGGCCGGGCGGCACGACCGCTCCTACGGCTGCTGTCAGCCCGACCCCGGCACCGCCGGCACCTCCAGCCAGACCCGCCGCGCCACCGGCGGGGTCCGGCCGGGACAGCGACCGCTCCGGGGGCACCGGCCCTCCGGCCCCTGCCGCCCCTCAGCGCCAGCGCCCCCCGCCCCCGGGCCTGGTCTCGCTCCCTCCGCGCCTGACGGGACGCGGCGCCCGCCGCAGCTCACCTCGGGCGGCAGGTACGGGGGGTTGTTGGCCTTCCCTCCGCGGCTCCGCCCGTTCTTCTTCTTCGTCTTCGAGCCACCGCCGCCGCCAGGCGCGGGCCCCCCGCGCCCGCGCAGCGCTGCGCCTGCCCCGCCGCCCGCCGGTCGACAGCAGCCCCCGAACAGCTCTGACACCCGCGAGTCCATGGCGGACACCGCGGGCCCCCCGCCCTGCTGCAGCGCCCGCTCCGCTCCGCTCCCCGCCCGGCCCCGCCGGCCCGGCTCCGGCCCCGGCGTCACCGACCGCCGCGCGGCGCCCCGGGAAAGCGAGTCCCGCCCGCCTACAACGCCGAGAACGCACCGCGCGCCTTCCGCTCGAAACTACTCCTCCCGGCGTGCCCCGCGGGGCGACCAGCTCGCTCCCGTACGGGTTCCATCCAAGCGGGCTGATGGGAGTTGGAGTCCGAGGGAGAGGGCGCCACCTGTCGGCCCTAGCTGACAACGCGCGGGATGCCACCGCTCCCCGGGATCTGCGGACGCCCGTGGGTTATCCCTTTGGCAGTTCACAGCCCCCGGTTCCCTGCTTATTGACATCGAGCGATCAGTCATTCTGGAGTCGGGAAACTGGAGCACCTTCGAAGCTGTTTGGCATTGGAGGTACTCATGACTACGCGGAGGCAGCAGCCTGACACAGAGCGATCCCAAAGCACACATTAAGATCCAACTGGGGCGGGCCGGAACAGCGAAAGAACCTTTAGCTGTGCGCCGCATCCCCTCACTAAGTGTATTCCCAGTGTCCAGTTCCACGGCCCCTGCGCCTTCTCTTTCCCCGCCGCATGCCCTGGGGAGAGCGAGGCTGGACCGGGTCATTGTTCGTGTACGACTGACGCCCTCCGTGGCGCTCCGCACAGGCGGCCGCGGTTCCCGTACAGCAGCCGGGGAGCGGCTCCTCTCGCCATCCCGCCCTCCACTCGCCGTGCGCTGAGGCGGCACCCAATGGGACGGCGAGCACAATGTTTCCAAACACGGCACTCCCCGCACGCTCCCCGCCTCCCCGCGGCAGCGCGAAGGCGGCTCCTCCTCTGACAGCGGAGCCGCCAGAGCTGCCGGGAGCGGGGCGGAGGACAGCGGAGCCGCTTCCCGCGGCCCTCCCCGGACAGCCCTGCGAGCAGCGCCCCGAGCTCCGGCACGGCCTCAGCCAGGCGGGCCCGGGACGGGACCGGGGGGGAACGGAGGGGCGGGGCCACGCGGAGGCCCCGCCTCCTGTCCCGCCCACCAAGCGCGGTGTCCGTGCTGCGTCGCCGCCGGAGGGCGCGCGGCCCGGCCCGTGAGGCGCTCCCGTGAGGCTCCGCGGCGGCGGCGGCATTTAAACCCGCGGCGGCCGTTGGGGGCGCGCGCCGCGGGCTCCCGTTCCAGGCGCTGGCGGGCCGGGATCGCGGCGCGGGAGGAGGGATGAGGCCTCGGCGGGACAGCTCGGTGCTGGGCAGCCCCGCGGTGGCCGTGGCGTTCCCGGGAGCTGTGTGCCGGGGCAGCGGCTACCGCTTCGCCTGCGAGCTCCTGAAGCACGTCCTGCACCAGCGGAACCAGCTCCCGCTGCCCTACGAGCAGCTGGCCTACTTCTGCCGCCGGGCGGCCCAGGTGAGGCGCGGCGGCCGCGGGGCCGTCCCCGTGCTCGGAGGCGGCCCCGGGGGTTTGGGGGGACCTTGGAGTTTGAGTTTTGTTTGCGAGCTCCGTTTCTCGCCCGGGGACTCGCACAGCAACGTGTCGGCGCTGTTAAAGTAAAGCTCTTGCTGTGGCTGCGTACCTAAATGTTACCTCTTCTTTAAAAAACGAGGCAAAGGCAGCGTTAAGTTCAGGCTGCTGAAGGTGCCGACAAATTGCTCTTTGTTGATTGTTTCCTGCTTTCCGCTCAAAGCGTGTCGCTGCTTTGTTTGTTACCTCTAAGCAAAAAAAACCCCAAAAATACTATCAAGTGATTTCAGAGAGATGGCTGATGTGTGAAAGATGGGCTTCTAATTCCTATTGGAATTCATCAGTAGCTCCTGTTCAGATTCCAGCTGAGTAGCTATGGATTGTGCTTTTGTGTTCCTCTTGCATCTCCTGATGTGGAGAGAAGATGTGCCTCTTCCCCCTGTGGGTACCTGTAGCTCTCAAAATCAACACAAACTGCTTGTTCCTTGACTCTCTGGGATGGGCCATGCTTTCTGCAGAGTATAATACATGTTCATAACTAAATGTGTTAATATGAGTTTTTGTTTTCCAGGATGGAGATGGAATTGAGAAACCACGTTCCCTGGGCCTGGCAAGCAGAAAGTGCCAGCAGCTGCTGATGGAGCTGGAGGGATTGTTCCAGCACCTGGAAGTCATGTTTAGTCTGACGCTTGTTCCTCGGGTTCTTTTCCTACTTGGAGGCAACGTCATGAACCCCAAGGAGCTCTATGAGCTGAATTTGGAAGGGTTCTGCGAGGGCTCTGCTGAAGAGAGCCTGCAGACTGCGCCCTGTGTTCGCCAGCTCTTCCACCGCCTGTTTGTGGCTGATGTCTTCAGTGAACTCAAGGCTCTCCCTGTCACAGGCACTCTTGTCCTGGTCCAGGGCCACCGTAACTGTGGTGTTGAGTGGTTCCGGCCCAAGCTCAACTACCAAGTGCCGACCCGAGGGAGGAAGCTGACTGTGAAGTTGTCCTGTGATGGAGATCTCCATGTTAGTGCCTCGCCTCCACAGCTCGCAGCACCTGCTTGGGAGGACTATGTCTGGTTCCAAGCACCAGTGACCCTCAAAGGCTTTAGTGAATGAATGGTTTCCATAGAAATTTAATTGGAATATTGATTACTTTTTTTTTTCTTTAGGTGTTAATTTTAGCAAATGTAACCATGTATTTTTGAACCATGTCTGTCTGAATTTTTTTTTTTTTGCTTCATGGTGTCTACTGCCTTCCTGTATCTTGCTGCGCTCCTCTATTGTCCTTATTTCCTGAGTTGTTGTTGAAGGCAAATCCACTTTAAGGCACAGTTGCACACAGATCCGGCAATTCTTTAGGGACCTGATCTGTGACATGGGATGAATTGATGTGTAATTAATTAATGAGTAAAATTTCCCTGCTGAGTGCTTGCTGAACTGGTACATACTGGATACATCCAGTCTCCTCCTGAGTTTTAATATGGCTGTTTTCTGACCCTGCATTTGCCATGTTACCCATAGGATTTCTTAGGTGAAGGTTACTTTTTGCAAAATAACTCTGAAGCAAAACCTTCTGCAGTCCTTAAAAGGCTCACCATAGCAGGAAAACCAGCGGGCAAAACCCGAGCGGAACACAGAGGTAACACTGTTGCAGAAGACGGATTTATTTCCAGCTAGTAAAAAATGGGGCAGGATGAAGGCAGTTCCTCTGCCAAGGGCTGGAGCTGCCGGGGCTGCCGTGGAGATGGGCAGAGCTGCTTCCAGGGGCCCCCTGGCCATGCTGCAAGCAACACTGCCTCAGCTGCCGTGGTGTACGCCCCACTTGAGCACTCAAGTGCTCGTCCATCTACTTGATGCAATTACACTTCCCTGTAACTCACTTTCTGTTCCTTAACACTCCAAAAGTAAGACTTTTCAGCAACTGAGCAATCTTGTAGCTAGTGCTGTCTTGGAGATGGAAAGAGACCGGTACCATGGAGGCAGGGTAGCAATAAGCAATTTATTTTTTTTACTAATCTTTCCTAACAGCCCTGACAATTGCTTAGATATAAGATTAAAAGTAAGCAGTTTCTTTGCTAACCCTCTTCAGAGAAAGTTAGAAGTGCTGCTGCAATAATGGAAGATTACTCTCACTCGAGGAAGAAACTTTGACTTAAATGTTTCTGAAATGCATAGAAATCAGGGGAATGTGATCAAGTTTAGCATTATCTTTACCTGCCAAATTCCTGTTCTTAGTCAGACTGTATTACCTAGAATCAGAACTTGAGCCTGTTCTTCTGGACTGGTATCTACCGCAGAACAGGACAGGGAGAGAAGCCCTGAGAGCAGTGTGTTGGAACTAGGTATCTGCTGGAGTTGTCTCCAGTCAGCTGGGTCATCTGTGCTGTAATGAGCTTTCAGTACCTTGAAATAACTCCATCCCATTTGAAGAGAAAGTGAACGTACTGGTGGTGAGGGTACTTGCTGTTACTAGGCAAAAATGCACAGTGGGGTGGTAAAAGTCCTTTGTGAAGAGGGTGAAGGTTTAGGTAACCCTCTACACTTGGTGCATATTTTAACTTTGACCTTTTGGATGGAATGAGATGATAGAAGCAGTAGGAACTTCATTTGAAATTTTTGAGCTTGGAGAACACTAGAGTGCCCTCTCTGCTGTAGTATCCATTACTATCTGTTTACAATGTGCAGTAGCTGCTTCTTAAGCTCATTCTAGGGGAAAAGCTTTGAGTTAAGAAAGCTGCCCACTTGAATATGAAATCTCAGGTCTCTTGAAGGAAATATAACTTGAATGTAGGAGTGTTTGTGCTTAGGAGATCAAAACCTTTTATGCTTCCACCAAAGCTGCTTGTAACACGTTTAAGAATGCAAGTTTAAAGTGTGCAATGTGTTTAAAGAAGCTTTTAAACAGAAGCCTTGGCCAGTTTGTTTCACCTCTCTTCCTCAGTTGAGTGCAGTGTTACTGCAATAAACAGTTTACATATTCTGTTATACTTGAACTATGAATGCAGCAATGATAGGGTGCTGGGAACAAAGGAACACAAGATGCTTTTTGGGTTTTGTTTTGTTTTTTTTTTTTCCTTATGAAAACATTACAACTTGATTTTAAAAATCATGACTGTATTATTATCAAAATAAAATGCTGGCTTCTATATGTGATTATTTTGAGTGATTAAACAAATTCAGTCTAAAGGTTCTGCCACTGGTAAAACCACTTGTTTCCATTCTATGCATATATTTCAACTGCAGGCTCACAGCTGTTCCACTTTTCTGACAAACTGCATGATGTCTTGTGCCAGGAGCTTTGGTTCCTCAAAGGCAGCAAAATGCCCTCCACGTGGCATGTAAGTGTAGGTGATGATGTTCTTGTAGACATTCTTTGCCCAGATACGTGGTACATGTACAATCTCCTGAGGAAAAGCTGCAATCCCTGTGGGAACATATACGCCAACCCTAGAAGACATAAGTTAATTGCATTGTTAAAACAAGTCCTGGGGGAAGTCTATAAAAACCTCTGTCTCTGGGCACACATTCAGCTGGAGCAGTTTCCCCACTTTGTGCAGTGCACCTCCTAGTCTGCACTCCACTGAGGAGCTTCATTTCTCTTCAGGTATCATTGAGTTTAAGAAGATGATATCTGTAGAGGTGTAAAGTAGAGCCAATCTTGCACACAGGTTGATCTTGAAATGTTTTCCATCTTTGAGTTTAACTTTAGTGAGTGTTGTGCTACATAACAAGATACCACACCTCTGAGAAATGAGCCAGCTCCTGTTTGCTTTAGAATTTGGCACCAAATGCATAACAAATGACCCTCTGGAGAGAAATGGGCCTGGTTCAGTCCACCAAGAAAAAGAGTCCCCCACTTTTTCAGATGATCAATTGGAGAAATCTGCTCAGCAATGTTTTGCGATCAACCTCCCTTAGCATCGTGTTAATGTACCAGCTGGCACAAGGTGCTGGGCTTCAAGTACTGCTCTCCAAATTGCTACCCCAGGTTTCTGTAGTTCTTAGCTTATCCTCCAGCAAGCAGTAGCCTTCCTAATTCAGTTTATACTTCTCTCATAGGTGTGCCCATGATCTTCTGTTTTGTTTTTACTGAACTGGGCTACAAGTCATATTTGTTTGGTGAATAAGTCTATAGACTTCTATTTTGAACATAGGTCTGTGCTTGGTGCTTTGATGAGTCTTTTGCATTGTCTTGGCTACAAGCTACCTTGTGTGCATTATAGGTTCAAAAGAAAAGTGACCCTTAATATTGATCAAAAGCAAGTAAGAATTGTGGGCTTTCATTTTTCTTAGAACTAATTAAATGTGCTATTCTAAGTGATCTAACTGTTGATACAGGCAAATGTTTCAACCTCATTTGCAAATCTTGCTTGCAACTTGCCACATATAATTACATATACTTACCTGTCATGAACACTTAGAGTAGGGTCCTTGGAAAAGTTTTCCTTGTAGTATCGCATTGAGGACACAATGGAAGATGTCACCCAATAAATCATCACATTGGTCAAAAGCTCATCAAGAGAGTATTTGCTGTTGAGAGAGAGAGAGGAAGAAATTTAACTGGAAGCTGTTCCTCAGTGCTCTATACTGGGCTCATGCCCTGAAGAACTGCTGTCCTTCTAAATCTCCGCTTATTTTCAAGCAGCAGATTAGTTGGCACCTGTGTGTTCAGAGCAAAGCCGCCTGGTGCTGAAGCAGTAGTGTGCAGGCAATCTGCTGTAAGTTTCAACTAGTGCTTGTCACATCAGCCTTTCATCCTTAGATTTCAGTTTTGACAGGCCAGTGTTTTACCTGTATCCTCATATTAGTTCCCACCACTCATTCTTTTAATGAGACTTCTCATGGAGTAACATAACCTGACATCTTACCTTTCCAAGCCTCCATCATCTTTATGGAGAAATGATTTGTCTGTCCAGGTTGAGAATTTCTCCATAATATATGCAGCAAGTCCCACTGGGGAGTCATTCAGTCCACAGCCTAATTGAGGAGAAGAGCTGTTGCAGTTGCCTGGTATTGCAATACTTCAGTGCAAGTTAAACTGGACTTTCATGAAAAGTTCAGAGTTTTCTAGAGAATTCAGTAGAGTCTGTATTTATCTATCCCTTATAGTACTTTATTTGTGACAAATTCCCTGCAGAGGAATTCTGGCTATATCTGAGGGCACTACAAATTCAGATAATTCCTATACAAAATAAGCTGGGAGTTAAGGAAGTTCCATTGGCTTCTTGGTGATCTGTGGCAGAAGGAGAAAATTCAGATGTAAAGAGATGGCAGCCTGAAAAGAAATTTCAGATAAAATATTTGGGAACACTGTCTTGCTTAGGATGGGATGTATTCTGATTCTAAAATATATTTATGAAACAGGGCTAACAGGAATGCAACAGATTCAGAATATCATAAATATAATGGATTATGTGGTATTGCTTTTCATGTTTTTTAGAGTTTGCAAAATTGCCTTAATCTTTGAACCAGCTGATTTTTGAGAGCACTACCCCTGACTCATGGATTCTCTCATACGGGAGCAGCCAAACTTAAAACCACTTGAACTGTGACTTTCTTAAACTGCTTTGAACTTTGTTGATATCAGTTTTTATTGGCTGGTTTTATCAACCAGTCACTTATAAACCAAAGGTTGGATAACTGTCAATTTTACATCTAATTATTAACTTTTATTCCTAGAGAAATTAGGATCTTGTTGAAGGGTATAGATTTCAGCACAGATTTTTGTCATTCTCTCCTCCCCTGGAACTTGTGGATTTATTCCTGCACTTGGATTCTCATGTTGACCAGTTTTCATTATTTTATTTAGGCAGTTCAATTTCTTAAGAATACTGGGGAAGGAGTCTCAATAAAACATTTTTTGAAATTATAGAAGTTCCATTAGTGGATCTGCAGTTGTTTGATTCTGCCAGAGCTCTGATTTTTGAAACATGATTTCCCTGTGATATTATCCCCTGTAATTATCCTTGTTTAAACAACTCTGTCAGATATCTGATCAAAGACTAGACATACTAATCTTCATTTTTCTGTGGATCCCTTAACTTTTTGGCCCTTAAAAACACTCAAGCAACCAGAAACACCACCACTGCTGCGACTCCCTCTCACCTAGTGTATAGTTTATCTCTTATTTCTTTGGGTTTGCATTCACTTCAAGCAATAGTCTAGGCATTCATTGACATTCCAGTTTGAGCTTCTTCTTCTCCTTTGGTGAATTGCTGGGATGGGGGCTGTTTTTTCTCTGGTCTCCAAATCTGACACCAGCCTGACACAGCTCTGCTGTCTTTCCTGATGTGGGATTACTTCAATCAAACAATACCCCAGAATCCTCTCTAGTGGGGACTGATGCAAAGAGTTCCTCTTAGCATTATGAAATGGCCATATCTTTCCTCACAGTCCTTATCCACTGGCCCCAGGATGTCAGCATTCTGGCTTTTCAGGTGTTTGAGATTTGTCTACCTTTTTGCAACTTTCACATTGCACCTCGTTGCTTGTGATATTTTTCTTCAGCCCCATTTACTTCTCAAAGCTTCAATTTCAGAACCCTGTGTTTTACTTTTGAGAGACTCTATGGAAATGGGTTCATTCTCAAGGAAAGTGGTGTACTACTTAAAAGACCTTGAAAAGTTATACTTGAAATCTCCATCTTTTTTTGAGTGGTTTCTTTTAGCTTCATTTTATATAGCTCTCATCCCCATAAACTCATTACCTCCATGAGTCTTGCACTCAAGTCACAGAAATCATTGCTTCTCAAATCTGGCTGGCCTTTGGTTTCATGTAACACAAGTGATTAGTGTACCACGTTCACAGGGATACAGGGAAGGTACATTACCTGCAGTGTCTGGTTTGGTGGCTTGGATGTGTAAGTATCCAGACTCTCGTAGGACGTCATATACGTTTTTCTGCATGAAAGGGTAGAAACGTCGAGCATCTTCCCTAGTGAAGCCTACAAGCCATGGCACATAAGCCCCAAGCATTGTACGGATCATCTTTCCCAAACCTTGTGTGCTGACGAAAACGAGATTCAGATGAAGCCCTTTCACAGATCTAAAAGCAAGTTAAAGAATAGAGGGTTAAATCAAGCAATTTTCTGTCTCCAAGTTTTCTAGAAAACAAGTCTGACTGCAGCTGTGAGATAAACACTGGACTGAATTAAATACACCAAGCCCTTCAGGTTCATCATGATTAAAAAAAAAAATAAAACACAAAGCGTATGAATGCAATTGAATATGCAGGATGGGGTTGTCCCTGAAGGAAAGAGAGAGCAGAAGGGGATGAGAAGCAGGGCAAACAGAAGGCAGGACTACGGAGCCAGAAGGTAGGGTAGGAACTGGAGGCAGCTTTTCTGCACTGATTTCATTTGCTACTTACTGTGGCAGCATCTGGGCCATGTTTGTGGTGATGCGAGATCCCCAGTCCCCTCCCTGTAGGTAGTATTCCTTGAAGCCCAATCTCTTCATCAGCTTATGAAATATCCGAGCAGTTGCTATGGAATCAAACTCTGTAGGTAAAGGGAAACACAGGAGACCTGTTGGTCTAGTGTTCCTTCCCTGGCCAAACACTGTGACCTGATTGAGGCATGTGTGTGTGGAGCTGTGGGAAGGGACAGTGTACAATGCTGCTCTGCCTCACTCCTTGGAAAGAAAGTGAGCACAAGATGAAAGAAATTCAGTGGAAAGCAAATCAGACGTGGCTTCCAGTTACCACTGTGTTGCAAATCTTCACAGCCAGCCCCAGAGCCTCAGCCACATGGGCCTCAGTGAAGAGCCAGGCATCTGCACTACAAACTGCGGTGCCCAGGGCTGCCTGGGATGGTTGAGGTGTTACTACAAAAACTGCAATTCCAAAGAGCCTTTTTATTGCTTACCTTTCTGGTGAGAAGCCTCTGAGAAACCGTATCCTGGGATGGAGGGGCAGATGACCTCAAACACCACATCACCCTCGTTCAGGCCATGCTTGGCTGGCTCCGTGAGCAGAGGGATGATCTTGTAGAACTCATAGAAGGAGCCGGGCCAGCCATGGACCATCAGCAGAGGTCGAACAGCTTGGCCATGAGGAACATAGGATGGCTTCACATGGATAAAATGGATATCAATCCCTGCCACACATCCAAGAAAGAAAAATTAAAGCTCTGGGACCACAGTTTCTGCTCTGCATTCTGTAGAAGGAGGGAGACAAAACTGTAATTAGCATCTGCAGCAGAAATTCCACAATCAGCCCACTGCAAGAAGATGCCTGGCTGAAAGGGGATGCCTGGCATAGTATTGGTTGTCTCATCTTTTACATACAGACAGAGATATTGACCCCAGCCACAGATATTGGGGTCACTGGAGATTAGCATCCATCTCCTGAGAAACTGGTATATAAGTAAGAACTGCTCTTGAATGAATAGCACAATGGGGGTAAGATACATGCAAAAACATTACAGTAATTAAAAGTGAAACATGAAAAAGAGCATGATAGAAATCTAACAGAGATCAATTATGTAGTCTTTCTACCCTAATCTAGAGATCGTTTATGTAAAGTCTGGCTAAGCTCATCTGGCTAAATTACTGTATGGTTGGGAGGGATATTTCAGCCTCAGTCTGGCTAAATTTCACAGTTTGGCTTCAAGGCAATCACTGAAGAGCACCTCACCGTTAGTTAGCATGGGTTCAGAGCCAGATGAAGACCATCTTGAAGCAGACTTATCTTATTGCCACTGTGTAATCATCTCAATCCCTATAAGGTTATTAATAATAGAGCCTCCACTAATTATATTTCACTTGTATCACTAAGCTGTTATGCATAGGTTATCTCAAATATTGTCACTTTTTACATCTCCCCCTTCTTGCTGTGCATTTCCGAGTGAGACCTGCTCAAATCACAGAGGCCCCCTCACCTTCAATGGTGGTGTGGAAGTGGGGATATTTGTTCAGCACTTCCACTTGCTTGCGCCAGTCAAACTGATTCCTCCAGTAGGCCACCACCTTCCGCAGGTAGCTGGAGTTGAAGCCGTAGTGGAAGGCGGCTCCTTCCACGTGGGGGGTGAAGCGGAACCGATCCAGGCGCTGGTGCAGATCCTGTGGAAGGAAGCCCTTCTTGCCAGGCTGGCCAGCTGCTGCCACGTGCCCTATGCCAGGGCAGGCACTGACAGGCTCTCTTGGCTCTGCTGGCTTTTTTATGGCTCTCTGGGACACCACAAGCCCTCCTGAAGAAGTGCCATACTCCAATTGACCACCTGAATTGTTTGTATGTGGAATACAATATTCTACAGGTTACAAGTTCCCCATGGGCACTGAGGAATACTTGGTCATAGTCCTGGCTTGCTGCTGACTCACTTCAGGGTTTTTGGCGCTAGGAGCTTGGCAGCGCTGCTGGCTGGGAGAATAAGAATCTCACTTGAGCTGCTGGCTGCTGCTTGGTCAGATAATTAGAGACAGGCATGCAGGGATGGAGGAGCTATGACTCAGTCAAGACACCATCCATCTTCAGCCTTACAGCCCTTTCCCCTCTGGAAGCTCCTCAGCCCTGCCCTACTGGTGCCACTGCTGTCCCAACACCCTCCTGCCCTGCTCCAGCACCCACAGAACCACTGTCAAAGTCTGCTGCTCAAAGCATGGCCTTTCTGCAGGAGAAGCCCCAGCTTGCACAAGAGGGGCTGCTGTCTCAGAAAGTCTTTAGGGGACATTGCAAGTGATCAGAGTCAAATCCCCTTAGTAAAGAATCCAGAGCATCATCTAATGGAGCTGGGTATCTGCCCTGGCACATGGAAGTGCCCTGCTGTGACCCCCAAGGCATCCCCTCGAGGCAGTGAGGTGGGCAGCTTGCTGCTGCCTCCCCTTGCAGCTTTCTGCCCCTCTTTACCCCTCAGCCAGCGGTACCTCGATTTCTTTGTCAGATGTTTCAATCTTGAAGGGACGGATGCTTGTGTCTTCCTTCCCTTTGGGGGGCCTTTCGCCTGCGCCCCACCACCCATCGCCCATGTCAATAGTCTTGATCTTGCGTCCAGACCTGAGCCAGTAAAGCAGCATCCCTCCAACGCCCAGGGCAGCTGCAGGGATCAGGATTGCATTCTTCTGAGAATAGTCAAAAGGCCTAGGGAGGCATAAAATTGCTTGTGTTCAATTATAGCAGTGTCAAAGGGACTTATGCTGAGGCTTCTTGGCACATCCATTGGGACTGAGCAGGGACAGATGCCTCCAAATCCTAGGCAGTCAGCAAGGACTGGACATTTCTGTTATTTTTGAAGATCACAGGTAAGATTTGGGGCAGGGTTTTATCTACCAAGGCTTCTTAGGGTTCTCAAGTTCTTGCTGGTCAGGACTTGCTGATCACAGGTCTTCCTTGTCCCTTTCCTTGTGAACCAGGATGCCCAAGGGGACAAAGTTCAATAGGATAGGGGCCAAGCTACTTTGAGGCAGGTACTGCAGTGAATGAGACAGCAGCAGCTGGACTTGTCCAGGAATAAAAACTGCATGGGCAGAGAGTGCTGAGGAGCAGGAGGATCTTCAGCTGCTGAAGAAAGCAGGATGTTTTGGACATGCTCCTCTTGCCAGTGCTTCATACACAGCTCCCCTACAGATTCAATCATCTCTTAGGGCAATCCTGGCTCTCCCCCGTAGCTCTCAAATAAAGAGTGCCTGCTGGTGTCCCTGTTTCTGTTCTGAACAGCAAGGTCCCACACTTGAGGTGTGGGAGCCAAGCTGCCAGAGCTGGAGTTGACAGACATGCACTCCTAAATGTAGAGTACCTTCCCACCCCTCTGACTTGTGTTTCAAGTTCTCCAGTCTCCCTTGGGGATTAGTAGAGGTGTTGGGGGCTCCTGCAAGGGGCTGCAAGGGGTCTGTGAGTGAAGATTTTGTTGCTGTTGTCATCCAGAGTACAGAAGGGATGATGCTGTGCCCCAGTCAGGGCACTAACCAAAAGAGGAGACCACAGCACAGAACAGCATTCCACTCACCTGATCCGGGACATGATGTTCTCCCTACAAAAGGGGAAAAAACAGAAAGATCCTTACAGTCTGATAGTGCTGTCCAATTCCAGCCCTTCTGGATGGTGCAAAGAATGTCCCCTGCCAGCACCCCTCATTGTCCAGGGATGTGATCACAAGCTCTTTAGCCACCTGGCAACATCTGCCATTATTTTTCGAACTCTTTGGATAGGATGGGAGGAGAGGGGATCACAAAGCACTGCCTCTGTACAAAGAGACAGTGTTTCTGGGCTGTGCTTTAGCTAGATAATTTGTTGCCATAATATTCCCTCCTTCAGCACAATTTAGGTGAAAGGCAGTATAGGCGTCCTTGCAGTGTTTCATCCTGTGGGCAGCTGTGTAGCTTCAGCCAAGAAAATAGTTTACTTTGACTGCTGTGTTGCAATAGGTGCACAGCCTCAGCAGGGCAATTCCGAGCTCCAGGGTTCATAGAATTATTCAAGCTGGAAAAGTTCTGCTCCCGGCCATGTGGTGCTGATCGTGCTGCAGGGATGGCACCAGCAGAGGCTTGTGGACCCTTCCTTGTCCAGAGTTTAAGGAGCTGCTGTTCCTTTGACACTTCTAGCTACTCCTGACTGGACATCAAGCCTTTAGGTCTGCCCTGTCTGCTAGGAAAAGAAAGTATCCTCCTCGGTTCCCTTTAAGCCTAGTGGTACAAAAGCACAATCTAAAATCTAGCAACAATAGAAGCAAGTGTTGTTATTCTGCCTTGCGCAACGCAGCCATATTAGGGAGTTCTTTGGTACAATAATTATAATACTTTGAGAAAACAAATCAAAACAAATGCCAAAAAGGAAAAAGACTTGCTAATCCATGAAAAACTAACCCCACTGGGTGTTTGTTATCACCTAGAATTGTTTCCCTCTGCTGTCTGAAGTGCAGACCCTGCAGCCTGTACTGGATATCTCAGTAACCTCCAAGGCAATTTGCTAACATTTGCTCAGATTGCCTATGTGTGATTTTTTTTTTCCACTTAAATCACTTCCAGACAGGGAAGAACATGGCTCCTAAGAACAAACAGCTTATGCAACAGGTAGGAATATCCCCCTGCACTCACATCCTGGAGGTCGGCGAGCAGAGGCGTGGAGCCAGCCATCAAGGCAGCAGCACAAACCCCGCGCTGCTAACACAGCGAGCCTGTCCCGGAGGGACACGGACGAGGCTCAGTCGATCAGCACCTCCTCCGCACTCATGCCCGGCAGAACTCAGCTGCCTGCTCCCGCTCCCACCCCTGCTGACCCTCCCGGCGCTTCCACGCAGCCCAGGCGCAGGAGCCCAGGCTGGAGCCCCGCTGCCCGTGCCCAGGAGATCTCACCACGCGTCCGGAAGGATCTCTGGCCACATGTCTGCTGCCCCTTGCCTGGCCGCCGCTCCGAGGGAGGGAGGACACAATCCCAGCTTCTGCTCCCCGGCTCTCTCTTCCGCAGTGACGTTTTCTCGGGGACAGCACAAACCACACCGTCCCTCAGTGCCACCTATTGCCCGAGTGTGCGGCTGCAAACGGAGCCCGGCGGAGGCCGAGCGCTGCAGGCAGCAGGAGCAGCAGTGCCCCACTGCCGACTCCATTGCAAATCCACCGAGAGCAGCTCCTGCAGGCAGCAGGAGCAGCAGTGCCCCACTGCCGACTCCATTGCAAACCCACCGAGAGCAGCTCCTGCTCCTGCAGGCAGCAGGAGCAGCAGTGCCCCACTGCCGACTCCATTGCAAACCACCGAGAGCAGCCCTGCAGAGGCTGCCCTGAGGCCTCGGCTGCGGCAGCACCGCTGCCCACAGCAAAGGCCAGCTGGGCTATACTGCCCGTGCAAAGCCCTGTAGTGGGAACTTCGGCCAGCAGCCCGAGGGAAGGGATCCTTCACTCTCCTCAGAGACCACCCCTGGGTTGCCACAGCCTCTTCTGGCCTTGCTGGCAGAAGACAGAGTGGAGTGGGCCCAGCCTTGGGGTACAGGGCCACCAAGCTGCTGGCTGGGCCGTGTGGTGCGTGAGGAGGTGAAGAAGCATCTTCATCCTGGAGAGGAAAGAGTAAAGGGTGGGATCTTATCGCTGTCTACAGGTAACCAGTGAAAAGCTGAGGGAAAATGGACCCAGAGTCATCCCGGAGAAGCAGCAGGTGAAGGACAAAAGGCAAGGACCAAAACTGTAACAAGATAAGGTTAGATCTGAGGAGAAGTTAGTCCTCCACCGAGGTATTCAGATGCTGGGACAGGGGTCCAGAGAGGATGTGGGATTTTCACCCTTGGGATTTTCACCCTTGGGATTTTCACCCTTGGGGGTATTCCAGATTTGACAGGAACAAGGCACTGAGCAATCTGACAGAGCCGAACCTGTTCGGAGCAGATGTTGGGATGAGCTCTCCTCCAGGTGTCCCTTGCAACCTGTGTGTCACTTGGCTGTATTCCAGGTGCACCCATGATTTGCAGCAGCCAAAACATAAAGGAAAAGCTCAGTTTTTAATGTTCTACTGAAATCAATGCTGTGTTTTTGTTCAGGTACTGAGGTTTCGTTTTCCTCATGGTTGGTAAAATAGTCCTGGATAAAGGCTTCTCCTTCATAGGAATTTGATAGCTTGGGTAAATGAGAGTTCAGATCCTAAGGAGTTTAGGGTGGGGGGAAAGTGACCAGAAGAGCAGTACGGAAAAAAGAATACATACATGAAAGAGAAAGGTTAATCACTGGCATATTATGCACTATGCTCAGTATTTGCCTTTTACATTTTCAGCAAAAACATGTACTTCAGTAAGGACTATTCTCCTAGCTTCCATGAGTGGAAGAGCAGTGGCAGGGAGACTGTCACCAGGGTTTTATTTGCTTACAGTCAAGAAAGACTGATATTCATCCTTCTGTTACTTTGTTCTGCCTCTCAGAAGCCTGTAGTTAAAGATTCTTTTCCACTGTGCTGTCTCTGTTATTAAGCTTCCAAATAAAATACATTAGTGGAAGGCTTTATAAACAAAAGAGAGAATTACAAGAGTAGGTGGAACAGAAATGAATCACAGCTTTCTAGCTTTTTTATGTTGACAACTTATGTTCCCAGGCAAGTACATAGTAAAAGAAGCATTTACACTGCATAAACTCCACAATAACCCCGTGGGTTTCCTAAATCAAAATGCTGCTAAATCAAAAACTTTGTGATGTGCCTAAGTAGTGACTCATGTATATGCCTTCAGTTATTTACTGATGTTTATGAATCCAGTCCCCATGGCAAAAAGCATGTGACACACTCTCAAGACCTCCACAATGAGGGAGTAAACAGTGCTTCAAAATGAATTGTTTACTAAGTTCTTCCACAGGAACAGTTACCTCTGTTTATCCAGCCAGGGCTGATGATTGCTGCCTCTCAGTGCTAACTTGCTCCCATGTTGTTGTTTTGTGCTGCAGCCCTTGAGTTCTGTGCAGCCTGCCTGCCCCTCCTGCAGCACAGTGCAGCAGCTCTGAGGCTGCATGTGCCCGGGTGTCCTTTCTGCTGCAACTGCTGTGCCTTCCCTGGCTTCAGGACATGAGTTTGGATTTGAACATTGCCATCAGGATGTGTCATGGATGGCAATGAATGCAAATATTTCAGATGTGAAGGGGCACCATTACTGCCTTCTGCCATGAGCCGTGGTCACTTTGCCATTATTACTCAAACAGGGTCTCTCACTCTGAGGTTCCATGTGAAGCTTGACTGGCTCTTGACCAATTTGGGGTGGTCAAAGCTTCTATGCAGAGCAGCACTTTAGATGTGCAGAGGCACTCTCCAAGCCTTTCATTCAAACAGCACATAAGAATTTTTTAGCATGTGGTTGATTTATCATTATTGATTTTATAATCATTATGTGCCCTTGGACATTCACACTCAGCCCTGCCCTTTTGTTAAGGAATTAGCAGAGCTGAAGGTGATAATACCATACCCCACAACAGAATTGGTTAAGTTACAAGGTCAGAGACTTTTTGAAAATTTTACTGGGGAAATGAAATAAAGAATTCTGAAGGGAAAGCACATGGTAAAGGACTCTGGTCTTTTAACCATACTGTTTCATACTGTTGCATGAAAAGTTTAAATTTGTTAGAGGGCGGAGAACTGATCCCTCTCTGCTCCAACATGTGATAAAAGTACTGGGAGTGTGTGGGAAGTGGTGGGCCTCCTTACAGTGCCCAAGAAGGAGCTGATACTGTGTGTTGGCCTTCTCCCAAATTATTGTTATTCTTTCCAAAATTTAAAGATCAGGCCTGAGACAAAAAAAACCTCTTGGAACCAAAAAACCCTCACCTTACAAGTTCAAGTATCAAAAATAGTTATGTTAATTATGTAATATTAGATAATGTTAAACTTCACAGAAGGAAAGTGTTGCCTCTAAGAACACACTGGAAATCATGGATGATCTGCTTGATTCCCTGTGTGCTGAAAGATTGCTGAATGTATGCCCCCCCAGAGCCTGATTGTCCTGCAGGTTTTAGACTCAAAAGGTGCTGGAGGGAATGAACTTCATAAATGGATATTAATTAGATTTATGAATAGCATCTGCCCCTTACAGGAGTTTCAGCATGCTTTCCTCTTCTTTCCTTTCTTCTCTATCTACTGGATTGGAGCAGAAAAGGTCCCAGTGTGGTGGTTCTGGCCTACTGCCTTGAGATATGGGGTGGCTCTCAGAGGCTGGATAAGCTGAGTGTCTCAAACCAGTGCTGGTGTGTGGTTGAGGATAGTCTGAGGATACAGTGCCCCACCCCCAGACCCCCATCCTGGCTGAGCTGTCAATCAATCAATCAATCAATCACTAGAGGCTGTGCTAAACCAGCTCCTGATTCTTTCCAGCTGTAGACAGGGAAGGGTTAAAAGAAAGATTTAAGTTGGAGAGCCACTGAAGGTCTTGGTTAAGTTGAAAAGGCTTGTGGTCTGAAATCATGACCCTCAAAATGATATGCTGAGGAGATTGGCATGAATGAGTGTTACTTTCTCTTTGACTCCCACCCCTGAGGCAATGCAGATCATTTTAATAGCAGAATTGTACTGTATGTCATTTCCCATGATGTCCACTGACCTTTTCTCTCTCCCTGAGAACAGGTTTTGGGAATCTCCCTGAAACCTGCTTGGTGGGAGGGATACGGGGGGTGATCTGGGACGTGTGTATTTGTTTGTGTTGTAGGGAGCCTGGACATGTAAGATTGTGGGGACCAAAAGGCATGATGGCCTAAATTGAATTTGCCAAGCTATTTTTGGAACTCGGCTTACAAGTCCAACAAGTATCACAAATAGTTGTGTAAATTATCTAATGTTAGGGAATGCTAAACCTCAAAGTAGGAAAGTGATGCCTCCAGGAGCACAGGGAATCACAGATGATCTGCTGGATTTCCTTAGGTGCTAAAAGATTGATGCATGAACTCGCCCCCTGGAGCCTGATGATCCTGTGATTTTTGGACTCGTGGGATGGTGGGGGGAATGAACAGCATAAAAAGATGTTAATTAGGTTTTATTGTTATAGCAATTGCCCATTATATGAGTTTCAATATGCTTTCCTCTTCTTTCCTTTCTACTCTGCCTGCTAGATGGGACCCTTATTAGACCAAAAGAGGAAAGGTCCCACTGCAGTGGTCCTGGTTCATGTCTTGAGATGCAGGATCCTTGTCAGAGACTGGATAAGTTTAGTGTTCTGAGCCACTTTTTGGGGTGCTTGAAATGCTTGCTTATGTGCTGCTAGGTGAGGTGGTGCCCTGCCCTGCCCCCAGACCCCCTCAGCCCTGGCAGAGCTGTCAATCAATCAATCAATCAATCAATCACTGACATGGGGGGATGGTGCTGACCCAGCCCCTGAACTGCCAAGTGACTGGAATCTCTCATTAGGGGAAAGGCCCAAGGAGGCTTAACAGATGGAGCACAAGGGCAGCACATGGTCTTGACCCTGCCAGCTTCCTGGAGCTCCTGTCTTACCCACAATGGAATCCTAGGAGGTGCTAGCTCTACGTGTGTTCTAAATCTCTTCTGTCTTTCTCTGTCTCTGTCTCTTTCTTATCCTAATTCTCTTTTCATGAAACTTTGTGGGCAATGTAAGATCTCATAGGTTTAAAGGTTTCTAGGTGAAATGGGCTAAATAAATGCTAAGTACTAAATTAATGCTAAGTAATGCTATGATAGGTGAATATGGTGTCATATTTAATCCTTTTGTCAAAGTCCCTTTATTTTCTATGTTTTTGCCAGTAAGCTTTTGTGTGATTTTCACCTCTTGAGAATATCTAGTTGGGATTTCTCTTTGTGCTAACTAGTGTAAAGGAACCTTCAATTTAATTCCTGGATTAAATATTTGGGGTGTAACAGGGGTGAAGTAGGAGCTGCTGTGACATGCCACCACGGTTGACTCACCCAGGTACAACACAGATAATCTGACAGACAGTAACAATTGGTCAGCTTGGCTTCTGCTTTGCAATGGCTACTTACACTAAACCAGTAGTGGTATTTATTGAGGATGAATTCCTATGAATTATTACATAATTTTTAAAACTAGTCATAGACCCATACTTGGAATGTTGTTTCTGACACAGGGACTGCTTTCCAGAAAAATTAGCCTGCACCCACATTCAGTGGGAAGCTACTGCATTCTTGATCCAAGAAACAAAACCAGGAATTTGGACAAAACCAGGCTTTGATGGCTGGGTACAGTCCAGTCCCCAAGAAGTGACTCCATTTTGGACAAATTTGTTCTTCTCTTGGCAGACCAGGGATCCTCCAACTTCAGCCTAGGGAGGAAAAGAGAGTATGAAGTAACTTCTCTAGTAATGGGGGCACTAGTCATGCAAACAGCAAAATACTGGCAGGAATAATATTGTAGCTCCAAAGGCTTTAAAATGTGACTGACATGAGGACTGTAGAAAGAGAAAGTGTTTTATTAGACCTGCTGGAATAAAAGAATTGGGGGTAAAAAAACCCCCCTTGTCTCTAAGCATCCAGGCCATGCTCTTGGTCTGAAGATCCATCAGTCATGGATGTGAGGACATCCCTGGATCACTGTGAGGTCAATTACACACACAAAAATGGAACTTTCCTAATTTTCCATATCCCAAATCTACTTGATCTGGACAAAGATAATTTAACTGTTTGAATGCTTTAAATTCCTTGAAATGCAGGCATAGCAGGATATGAATACCTGTGTCTGATGATTTTTGACTCTACCAATAGTAGAGTCAAATAGCAGAGCACACTGCCCACAGTCTCTAAGTGCAGGCAGTATATTACAGGCTTTGCTTCAGGTGAGTGGGATATTCACAACACTGGGCTAATATGAGTAAGATGTTACCTTACCCAATTTCCCTGCTTTTCTGGTTGACAGTGTAAGTTAAGAAAAAAAAAGCTGCATATACCTCAGCTCCTAGGCTTCATGCAGAAACATTGAGCTTCTGAAACTATTTCTGAGCCTTGAAAGTTCAAATTATATGTATTTACCTGCTTATAGTCAGTTAGGTTATTCTTAACGCACAGTTATCTATGCTTCCCAAAGTAAATTCATCACAAAAGGAATGATTTTTAACACTTCCATTCATAAATTCAGAGTGATTATATATTTATACCAAGGAACTTCAGGCTAAACATTTTCTGTAACATATTGCAAATATCTGAAAGACTTCAAGATTTTTGCTAATTTGTTATCAGTAAGCACTTTAATGAGAGAACCATATTTCAGCAGCCCATTAGACTTAAGAAGCAACTTTTGCTTCCAAGCATTTTGCTACAAGTACTTATTTTCTGCTGCATGTAAGAAGAGCACCCAACTCAATTTAGGAATATGTCTTTTGTTCAACCCTGCCACCTTCCTTTGCAAAATAAGTAACTCATGCAAAGCTCCACTATACTTTAAGAGGTGTCATATCACTTTGACCAATGTGAGCTATTAATTAAGGAAGTAAGAAAACAGGACAGAGCAAAACCTCATTTATCTAATTTTGCAAAACAAAGCTGCCTTTGAACAATACAAGCTAAGGTCACCCTCCTGAAAACATAAAGCACAACACAAGCAAAATTCTTATGATAAATAACAGTCGCATATTTCAATAGCACACAGCTTGAGAAATACTAGAATGTCTGTTTTCCTCTTGTTCACCTAGATGAAAAAGACATCCTTCAAAATGCACTGTAAAATGACATAGGCTACAGGACATATACTAACTAAAGATCACTTGCTCTTCTGTTGGTATATATCCTGTAGCAGTACAGCAGTACAGATCTGAGAGCTGCAGGAGGGATGTAATTGTTACATTGCAAGCCTAGTCAGTGTCCTGATTTGGGCTTAGATAATTTTCTTCTTAGTAGCTGGTAGAGTGCCATGTTTTAGGTTTAATATCAGAATAACAATTATAACACACTGATATTTTGGTTGTTGCTAAGTAGTGCTTTTTCTAACTCAAGGACTTTTCGGCTTCTCCTTCTCTGCCAGTAAGGAAGTGCACAAGAGGCTGGGCAGAAGCACAGCCAGGACAGCCGACCTGGCCTGGCCACAGGGATGTTCCATCCCATAGAACAACAGGCATAAGCGTTGCATACACTGGATGGAGCCACTAATTGCTGCTCAGGGACAGGCTAGGCATTGGTCAGCAATTGTGTTGTGCATCACTTTTGTTCCTTGGGTTTTATCTCTCTCCCATGTTTCCATTACAATTACTACTATTATTATTGCTGCTATTATTATTATAGTTATTGTACATAATTTTATTTCAATTATTAAACCATTGTTATCTCATGAGTCTTACTTTTTTTAAAAATTCTCCTCCTCACCAAAGAAGGGATGGGGAATGAGTGAGCAGCTGCATGGTACTTAGTTTCTGGCTGTGGTTAAACCATGACACTCAGGAATAATTTTGATAGATTGCTGTTTCCTTTACCCACAGACTCTACAGGAGGTGACACTTATAGCCAGCTGTTACCAGATGTGGTGGAGGTAGATGAGCCAATGTTGTGTTCCATCATTCCAGGTGAGGCATTTGATGCAGGCTCTTGTGTATGATCATCACACCTCTTGAGGTTGCAGTACTCCCATATCGTGTTGGGGTCAGTGGTGAAACACCACGGGCTGCTGTCACCATGTTGTTATCTCATGAGTCTTACTTTTTAAAAAATTTCTTCTCCCTACCAAAGAAGGGATGGGGGAATGAGTGAGCAGCTACATGTTACTTAGTTTCTGGCTGTGGTTAAACCATGACACTCAGGAATAATTTTGATAGATTGCTGTTTCCTTTACCCACAGACTCTACAGGAGGTGACACTTATAGCCAGCTGTTACCAGATGTGGTGGAGGTAGATGAGCCAATGTTGTGTTCCATCATTCCAGGTGAGGCATTTGATGCAGGCTCTTGTGTATGATCATCACACCTCTTGAGGTTGCAGTACTCCCATATCGTGTTGGGGTCAGTGGTGAAACACCACGGGCTGCTGTCACCATCTGGGTTTCTACAATAGTTGTCCCTCAAATCCCTGCAAAAATAAAGTCAACAGTCATGCTGCATAAGACTGAAAGTAAGCATAGGAATATCTTGACAAAAAGATGTACTATGCACTCCTACTATGTACAAATAAATAGATTTTTGTTTGTTTTACTTATGGCCAGATATCCTCTCACCAGCAAGCACATCTTTGGTTGTGATGCTAGTGAAGAGTTGTATTTCACATGGGCATTGGAATCTTGAATATATTTACACATAAGGAAACAATTCAACTACTGGCTTATACTCTGGCTGTAATATTTCAATGTACTGAGTACCTAAATAATTGGCCCATACAGCAATTTAAAAAAATTTACAAGTGTGTGTGTAAGCACACAAAATTGTGAATTAGTACAGAATGTGTGAATTAGTAATGAATATGCAGGAAAATTCATACTATTGAGGGAAAAGCCATATGGTAATTTAAAAAAAAATTTACAAGTAGGTGTGTGTAAGCATTCACAATTGTGAATTAGTACAGAATGTGTGAATTAGTAATGAATATGCAGGAAAATTCATACTATTGAGGGAAACTTAGGCTTTTCCAAAATTTATAGATGTCAAAAGGTTCCTTCTCATATTCAGAAGAATGGCAAACAAATATTTATGCAATTGATCCCCTCTTACACCCCAAAACTCCATTTCTACTGACTTCAGTGAGACCACTCCCATGTCTGTGCTTGTTGGGGCATGTGGAAGGAGAGCTTCTCTTTTCAATAATGTGCAGAGTTTCAATATTTCCCCCTCCTGAATCACAGCACAGTCTCAGAGTAAAAAAGAACTGCAATGCTTTTTCTCTGAATATGACAGGACATGCGAATTCCACATTTTACCAGCAAAATTTTAATATTTTAAAATGTTTTTGAAAGATATCATGCATCCCCTCTGAGGATGTTTCAGTTTTTTCATGCCAATATATGACTGAAAATTTCAAATTATTTAGAGTGACAGCATACAAAGGGAAAAAAATAGAAAAGTATCAACTTTCCTGCTTATAATCCACTAAGCATGATGGATTTCCTCCCAATTGCTCCTGTAATTGTAATCCTCTTGCTCTCTTCTCCTTACTAAAAACTGGCACATTAATGGTTATTTTGCTTGTCTTGTCACTGCTCCAGTCATTCCTGGTGCAGTTTTGTTAATCTGAGGAAGATAAATCAAGGGGGGAAATTTCAGTGTACACAATTTTAGGTGCCAAATTCCAACTACAAAGAACACTTAGTTGGTATTTCTAAACATGACATATCTGACAGTGTGTTTTGTATCATAAATACTGTGTCTCCCCCAGATTAAATCATTAGAAAGGCCACAACAAAAAGTCTCCAATTCATAAATAAAACACATACTTCAGTAGATGCCTTGTCTCTGGATGCAAGTCTCCTGTTGTTGGTTGCAGAAGATCATATTTAATAGTAAGGGACACAGCTGTATTTTACTCAGAGTTTTGATAACAAGAAAAGAAAATTCTTACAAATGAGACTAACAGAAAACTTTTCTGCATCTTAGAAAAGTTCTCTTTTATTGATATAGTCCCTAGCAGTGTTTTAAAGCATAGCTGTGCAAAGATAATAGGGAGAAAGCGAGAAGAGGTGAGATAAACGTACGCGTCCGGGAATCTGTCCGGGGTTTTTATGTGCCTGTGTGGGAACATGGAGCTCCAGGCCTGGCACTTCTTTCCCGAGGCAGTGACTGAAGTTGTGCCACGATAACTCTGGCCTTTGTCTCGGTAGCACTCCTCTGTTAGGGGTACTAGTACAGGCACATCTGCAATGAGCAACAGAAACTGGTCTTTGGCATCATAATTTTAATGTTATTACTGAGTCAGGCACAAGAAAGCTCAAACACAAAGGATGACAAAAACGAATGAAGTCATCACATCTGCAGCAGAAGGGCACTTCCAAAGATACTGAGAAAACTTTCAACATCTTATGTTAGATGTTTCTCAGTGAAGGGTTCACCAGTTAGTTTCATTTTGGCATAAACGAACATGTCAGAATTAAAGATAAGAAAATTCTCATTCAAAATCCTCAAAGATTAGATACTGGTGATTTTGCCCATTATATTTCTCAAACAGACATTATGTTAAACTTCAGTATCTCTATTATCCTTTTGATTGTAAGACTTGTTAATTTTGTGCTTAAATGAATGAATGTTTCAATGTGATTGTTAATTGTGTTGAAAGTCTTGTCCTTTCATTTGTGATTAATTTCCAAAAATAGGAGTTAATTTTGTTTAGCAATTTTTAATCTCTTTAAGCTGTTTCATTTTTCAACGAATTTGCTATAATTGGCCTACCTTTAGGAAGAAAGGAATATAAAAACATAAATATCTTTCATCCTGTAATTCTTCTGTCGATTCAGCTTGTGATTTACATCTTTCACTGTATTTCCCTAACTGAAAGTTTAATATTTGTCAGAATTTGCAACATGCCAGGAAGACAAACATTAAGAGTGACAAAGTGACTGAAAAAAAGATTAATACATTTACAATATGAAACAATAAATCTTTCACTGTTTTAAACTCCTTATCTCGATTACAGTCCACTATTCATACCAGCAATCTCTTGTTCTGTTCTGTCACAGGGAGGAATTGTGCAATATTCCCATCTAATGTTGCTGTTGGTGGTGTAGCACCAAGGCTTCTTCTCTCCATCAGGGTTTCTACAGTAGTTTTCTTCTAAGCCCCTTGAAACAGGAAACAGGAACACTGACTTTAAACCACTCATCCAGAAGAGTTGTATGCATGACCATTAGCAACTACTGCACATAGAATTCAACTCAGTGGTGTATATATTTTGGAGATTGATTAACCCATGCATTGCTCCTTTGGGACTAACCAATGGTCTTCAACTTCACAGTCTGAATGCTGAAGACATAGGAAAAACTTTTCCAATGCTTACACTTTCTGCTCTTGTTGTTGAGGTCAAGATGCAGCAGTAAGAGCTGACTTCAAAACACAAGGCACTGATATCCCTGAGATTACAGTAAGAGCTAGGCAAGGCTGGATGTGACAGACTGGAAGTGCTTACAAAGGTGCACTGGTGCATGCTGCTCTGTGCCCTGTGAGAGTGAACAGGGTTTCACTTTTTAGGAAAACTTGCAGGATCAAACTACAGAGCTATTAACCAGGTCAGTCCCAGCTACTCCTGCACATCGGTAGTGCTCTGCAAACCCAGTTCTTCTGACCTTGGAGCACAAGGATGTATGGGAATATGTTGTCCTTGGAGCATCATTCTTCAGAAGAGTAATGCATTGAAAATGTGCTAAAACACAGCCAAGGGATTTTTAACATAAAAAGTAGTGAACTAAGTATAGCTCTGCTGTGGGATGTGGGAGAGACAAGTGAGAAAAGTACATAAGAATAAACAGGGAGGCAGAAAAAAATGAAGAGCAAGACCTGAACAGAAGTAATGAGCACTGACAAACAGTGAGAATTACAACTTAACAACATAAATGAGGAAAACCTCTCTTCCTCTTGCCTCTGCATCTGGATCGATAGGGAATAACCCTTGGTATTTGTTAGAATGCTGAAGCTCAGCGTACTTGCAGGGATATCTCTCAGGAGTCCAGCCATGCTTGTGAGGAAACTGTGTGTTCCAGGGTTGGCAGGCATTGCCCGATTCGGTGATGGCTATCCTTCCTCGATAGTCTTCACCTCTCCCTGAAAGACACTGGGAGTCTCGGCCAGAGACTGCTGGGGGTGTAGCTGTAACAGGAAAAGAAAAGAAAAGAAAGGGAAAGGGAAGGGGAGGAAAATACTGGTAAGTAGTGCTTTCAAAAAGATATAAACACCTTTGTTTCTGTAACGTTGAAGATGGATTTTTTTTTCTTTCATCAGAGGTTACACTGGTTAAAAGCCATGTCAAAATCAAAGAGGACATCTTTATGGGCCTCCAGACTGCCAGATGGATGCCCTGTGTCTGCCCTTTTATAGCAGCCAGTAAATAACTTTGCTGGGTTGAGCCAGATTCTGTGCCTACTGTCCCCTGAGAGCAGAACAGGAAAGGCAGTGAGTAGTCTTGTACGGCCTTGTAAACCCAAGTGAGATGGAGTACAGTAATATAAAACACACAGGTAGTGTGGAAGGGCAGAAAGGACCAAGAAGAAATTGTGAGAGAAAGCAGAGCAGCCCTGAAAGCTGAACCTCTGCAGTCAGTGAGCTGGGGAAGAGGGAGAAAAGGAATAGTGAAAAAAAGAAAGAAAGTGAAATGGTCTGACATGTGGGGAACAGCAAAGAAAACAAGAGTAATGATCAGAGGCATAGAACCTGCAGAGGGCAAATGGAAAATGAATTTACAGCACAAACCCATAATATACAGAATTCCTCAAGGACATGAGTATGACCCTAAAAGGTTGGTATGTTCCTTAAACTTTAAGTGCAGGATGGAAATGCTATGGTAACTGTCACAACTTATTATACAAAAGTCTATAGATAGTTATTCTGCCATCCGTAATTGAGCATGCTAAGAGAACTACCTCTAGCAAACACACACTGCTTAGAGCACTGGCAAGTGTAGATACATAAGAAAGCAATCTCTACAGAGAGAAAACACACTTATAATTGTTTTTTCTCGAAGTGCAATCCACTTCTACAATAGGGAATGTTACCTCTTAATTCAGTGCCTTGGAAATATCCAGATTTAGTGCGCTCAACTTAATGGGTTAAGCTAGCTCACTGATAAGTCAGGTTTTACTCCTGAGGCCTGAACCTGTTTCTCAGGATTCATGCCTTGCTATGAAAAAGGAGTGCTGGCTGTGCAGATAAGATTCAGGTAAAATATCACAGTATAGCCACATGGTAATTTAGATGATTTCTGTGAGTTAGCAAATCAGCAGTAAACTACCACCTGATTTGACCTTAATGTCTTGCCTCCCAGGTAAGTTTAAAAGTAAAGTGGTTAAGGGCAAATTATGGTTTCCCATAACATCATTGGCTGTACTGCACTTTGTGGCGCCTTCATCCTCACTGACCATACATGATTGTACATAATAGAAGTTTAATGAGTGATTCTGCTTATTAATGTGCACTTTCCCTGATTCACAGAGATACCTCTAGGTTACTCAGAACTGTGGTTTCTTTTCTTTCCCCTCCCTGCATAATTTTAATGAGCTACCCTCTGGAGTGATCTCAGGAAATCAGACTCACTGCAATGAGGAATGTTGCAATATTCCCAGCGTTTATTCGGGTTGGTAGTGAAACACCAGGGCCGAAGTTCACCATCAGGATTGCGGCAATAATTCATCTTCAGGTCCTTTTCTGGATAGCTGTGCATTAAAAATGAAGAGAAGCTTGTGAGTCAGCAACAGCCATGTGTAGCAACGAGGCTGTCTGCAGGCAGGCTCTGTGGGAATGAATTTGGTGCTGAGTGGCACTCACTGTTTCAGGATAAATCCATGCATATGAGGCTCTTGGACATCCCAGCGCTGGCACTCCAGTCCAGACTCTGTTCTGGAAACTTCTCCGCGGTAATCCTCGCCGTTACACTGCATGCACTCCCCCTCAGGTCCTAGGCAGAAGGAAAACAAAGCGAGGAACCACCAGCTTATTCATGGGAGATTATGCTGAAAGGACAAGTGGGGTTTGCTCCAGCTAACAATGAAAGGAATTCAGGAAACTGTGCATTACAGCCTGGCTAAATCAATAATGCTTCAGGAATATATTTCACTTGCAGGGAGGAATTTGTCATGTGTCTGCGTGTATGGTTAGCAATGGGAGTTCAGTGTGTTGCACAGCACTTGGGTCAGTCTTTACCCTTGTTACAATTAAATAAATTACTGGTGTAAGAGCAATATAGTTCTTATCCAGATCTTTGCAGTTCTCTGCCAGTAGAGTCAAATGTAACAAGGCAGATAAAGATAAAGCAAACAATATCAGCAAATTTAGTTCTTCCATATTTACAAAATAACTTCGATAACTCAAGCCAATTAGGAAAACTACCTTTCTGTTGAGAACTTCTTAAGTTCATCTTGATTTAAATTCTAATTTGAAAAAAAAAAAGAACCAAAAACCTGTAAAAATAAAGCACAAAAAAATAGCAGGAACAATATTACTTTATTGAACATCCCTTCACTGAAAAGTAAATATACCTTCTCCAGTGTGCATGACCTGGTTCTCACACTCTGGGATGGCACAGTAATCAAATCTCACAGCAGGATCTGTTGTGTAACACCAGGGTCCACTTTCATCTGCATCAGGGTTTCTGCAGTAATTTTCTTCCAACCCTGCACTGGGGTGTTTTTCAGGTGTATAACTGTAATAGTATTAAATTTCTATTTTAATACCAGTACTTTAGTGGCACAGAAGGGAAACATCTAAGCTGTTCAGCTAGCTGTGAATTTTATTCATTCACAGTAAAAATGAGGGAAAATGATTTCCCATTGTAAGCCATAAATGAAAACCAAAAGATCATTCCTAACTACAATTATTAGTAGCTTTCTCCCTAGCCCCACTTGCCAGTAAGAAGTAAGCTTACAGCCTGTAAGGACAATGACAGTCTCAGAGGACTATTGTTGTCTTTAATACGTGCATCCTGTTGATCTAATCAGCTCACTACAACGTGTGGCTCTCTCATGTGTTTTTCTTAGTGGAGCTGCTTTAAAAGTTGTGTATTTCTAGAGACTATCCACCAAACATAACTGGGTCTCACAGAAATCTGAAGCAAGTGAAGCTAGGCTTCTTCCTACAGCAGTCTTCCCAGAGAAGACTAAATTACTTTTAAATTATCTGAACAAGAGTATCCGAGTGCATTTAATTCGAATAAAAACAAAATAATTTTTAAAATAAAGCTTCAACATAAATGAGAGGACACAGGACCTCTGCTTCCCCACTTGCTTCAGTGAGCCCAATGGCAGCCAGCCCTGAGAAGACTCTACCTAGCCAGATGCATTTGGCCCTTGGATACTTTTCTCAATTTTTTTGTTTTTTGACTATCTGTATGGCAGGTAGGGAGGGCCTAGAGTTGGACAGATGTCATTTTATACAGAGGAGAGTAATTCTGACCCCACTGTTACCAACAGCAAAAATCTTCATTGTGTTGAGAGAAGGAGCATTTAATCTGCTTAAGACACCTCACATATAGACACAACTTCTCTAGCTGACAATGCATCCTTTCCTTATCCAGATCATTGCAGTAGAGTCAAAAGTAACAAGACAGATAAAGATAAGGTGTTTTTAAAAGTCACCTGACAACAGGATTTGATAACTTGCACTATATATCTGTATATATATATATGAAGATGAGGAAACTTGGAAAAGGTTTATAACAGCAAAAAGAAATGTAAATAGGCACATACTTTGGTTTGTGGGGTATTTTTTCTGCCCACTTCTGGCATGGAATACCCCTCTGAGTCTTGGCTTCTGTTCCTCTGTAGTCTGTCCCAATCCCTCTTTTACACTGCATAAGGTAAACTGAAATGGAATCAAATTTGTAAATTCAGTTACAACATTCATTTCCTGGTATTGAAAATCTGCAGCTTTAACTAAAGCTCATCTGTACATGATGGTCCATGTTTTACTCATGTTTTGAACCTCTTGTGCCTGCAAACATATATAATGTATTTTAAAATAAATTAGTTACAGCTGCTAGGCATCTAAAGAGAAAAATTTCTGAAGCATTTTTATAAAGCTATATAATAAAGAGAACAGCTATATCAAGTTTTTGATGTGAAAATAATGCAGTCTTATACTATCATAATACCGGGATAAATAGGAATCCCCAGCAGCCAGGGATTCTTGGAAAGGCTTTGTTCATAAGTACATTTGCAGTGTGGGTGTCACCCAGCTATCCCTTTAAGCCAGAAAATACTTAGTTATCAAAACACATTTGTCACATAAGTGGCCCCAAAACTTTTCATCTTAGCCTCAACCTCTCCCAGGTGTATTTCTAGTGGGATTCCAAGACAGAGAGTGTAAATCATGTCAATGGTGCTTTTATTTGCAACAAACACTGAAAAGTTTCCAGTTATTGAGGTCAGTGATCTTGATTTCCCTTCCTTTCCCCTGTTCTTGTTTGCACAAGAAGAATCTCCCCAAACCTCAAAATATAAAATGGAAGTGTTAGAGCAAGGACAGGAGACCAATCTGCTAGGAAAAAATGCTTTAGGGTTCCTCCTAAATTACTGTAGCCTGTCTAAATAATAAAGCTGGACACATCTGACACCTGGGGAGAGGAGGTGAAGACTATATAACTGGGTCTGGGAGGAAGGCAATAAGTAACTTTCCAGTTCAAATGGCAAATGGAGACCACCATGGATCTAGGCCTTGGTATTTGATCATTCTTGAACAGCAGTTTTAGCAACGTGGCTTATTCCTGTTTGCCCCCCAAATTCTCTATTAGTTTTCTGCCCTATACAGGAATTTGCTCCAGCACTGCAGCAGAGAAGAGAAGGATGCCATTAGAATAGGCTTGATGAGTAAATATGTAACATTGTACTGTAACATACTTATCTTCTCATAAAGAACTGTGTCTGCGCTGGCGAATGTCACTGTCATTTTAGCATTTTCAGCCAGTGTTAAACACTGTAGCTTTTTCCTGGTGAATAGGAAAGCCCTATTGAAATTGAGAAGGAAGAAATATTGACATAGGAAGCAATATTTTAAATTCAATTCAAATTATTTATCTCAGAAGTATTTTTCTATAAATTATTAATTTGCTAGCACTATCTTATATTCATTCTTATATTTCAGATACTGTACTCAATATTTTAGATGAGTAAGAGGTTAGGGTTTTCTACTACTCTCAAGTGGCTCACTTATTCAGGATATATGACAACATGAATAAATTATTGTGTGGGAAACTAGAAGCTGCTTTGGCAAAACATTATCAACGTCATCCTGGCTGCTCAGGTTAGTTACTGTCCCTATAATGAACAAGAAACCTTGCACTCTTGTGAAAAAAATCAGCATCCAGCTAGAGAGGCTCAATCAGTTCTCCATGTAAGAACTGGAACTTGAACATTTACTATAAAATGAGTAGTATGTTGTAAATCCACTCTTTACGTGATCTGGTGGTAATTTATGGCTGGAGATAAGTCACAAGCTAAAGGCACAGCAAGGGAGACACTGCTGTAGGCAGAGCTGCAGCAGAATGGGGATGTGGTTCTGAGTAAAGGTAGGAACATATCATTGATATGCAGACACCCACAATAGCACAGTTTTAAGATTCGACAGAAATTACCTGCAGGTGAAATTTCTTTCAGCTTCACATTTGTCTGCACATTCTTTTTCATTATTTGTCTCATAAAACTGTTTTTTTCGTGTAAGTATCCAAACACCATCTGTTCTTGAATAGTCATCCAGTATATCTCCTTTCACTAGAAGGGAAGGAAAGGAACTAGACATTACAAATGAGAATTCTGCAGTTAAGAAGATCTCTGGATTTCAGTCCCATTTTCCATGTAGCTTGGACAGGTGGAGACACAATTTATTTTGCATAATTCTGGGCAAAAGATGATAAACTCTGAGGTTATTTCTGTCTCCTGACAGAATTACAGCTGAATGACTGCAACAGATCATGGGAAGAAAGAGGCAGAAGAAAGATGTAGAGGCAGTTCTGATTAGAGTTATGCATGAGTTTGAAACTAAAAGCAAAAAATGGGAAACAAGAGTGAGGGGCAACGGAGAGAGAGACTAAGTGGTGTCAACAACAATCAGAGAAAGATGAAGGGAAGTGATACCCATATCAAGGTTTTGGAGAAGCATGAATTAGGTGGATGGGAGATTATGTGTCATGCAGACTGTGCAATCCCTGCAGCTTCATTGGTCACTGCCTAGTTGTTTGTTCCAAGATGTCCTGCCCTTAGAGCAAGACACCTCAATGACAAAGTTACTATACAGCCTTTTACAATGCCCACCATAGTTTTATTGCAATGGGTTGAGCAGACTTAGTAATGAAATTGTCAGGCTGCATCTCTGTTGCAACAAATTAACCCAAGATTTTAAATTAGAAAATCAGTTTGTATTATTAGACCTGAAAGTGACATATGCATAAAAATTATATTGTCTACCTGCTAATAATTCTAACACACCTCTAAAATACTGTAGCTCACAATAGAGTTTACCATCTAATTGATTTTTTCTTTTTGTACCTAAAAAGATTCTATGTTTTTGTTTCTAATTTCTACAAGAGCTTAGTTCTGTCTCCAGCATCAGGTTACAATATTGCACAAGTGATTTTAATTGGTCACATGGTTTAATTATTTCATTTTTTTCAATATAGATTATTATTGACAGATGCAGGAAGTTCATAATTTTGTACAGCATGCTCACAGGTAATGTTGTGAATTTTTCATTTACACACTCATATTAGGGCTGAATTCACTGCAACATCACTCCAGTGTTACTAATTCCCATGACATGTGGGCCATTCATCACCTACCTCCATATGACACAGATCCACTCAAAATAAAGGATATTTTGGCCACTAATGAAAATAAGATTATTCATTGCCTGAGGGAATTTTCTGTGTCTCTTTGCAGAGTTGGCTCAATGCTATAAAACCTGCATGTCTTAAGAAATCCCTGACACTGAGGCTTCCCATATCTAGTCCTGCTGTTACAGCAGGACTATGCAGAGCAGCAGTAGCCTAGCCTACTAATTTCTCTGGTGGAGTTAGCAAACAAGTGCTTCCTTTGCTGATTTTTTTCCTAACTTAACTGAGGCCACTGTTCCAGTGGACTAGAAAAAGAAAGTACTCCTTTCCAAACTTTATTTACTCATCTTACAATTCTGTATTTTTTCAAAGAGCTCAATTTGGATACTATTCCTTTTCAGTGACTATAAGAAAAAAAAATTACAGTTGGATTGAGAATGAATACATGGGAATTTGGATGACATGCATAAACTAGAAGTCAACATAGACTGGCAAAAATTTAGAAAAGAAAAGGTGATGCTGGTTGTCTGAAAAACACTAGAAAGTGTAAACTTAAGAAAATAATATAAGAGATTTAAAATGCATCAGGGAATATATAATAGTCTGAATAAAATCTATATAAACCCAGATATTGCACAGGATAATCAAACAGAATATTCAAATACATGTGAACAAACAAATTTCTAAAGTTCCATAAGCGTCTACCCAGATTTGACCAGTACTAACCCAGAAGACATAAAAATTGGCTTTAAGGCAGTTGTGGAGCATCACTTTTGAGCAAGTCAGCCAGAGCTGATAACAATGAACAAATAAAACACCCCACTTTCTCAGTTGTCTTTTATAACCTGGTACAATCATACAATTATATGTCCCTGGTATTCTGACCTGAACGATTAAAAATTAATAAAAACTGTACTGATATATATTTATCAGTACTTTTAAAAAGTCATTTAAGTGCCATGCAATTATTTGTAATTTCAAAGTATGAGTGTAGTAGCTGATTGAAATCTGATTGAAATATATACTACATCTAGAATATTTATTTACAGAATTTGTAGATAACCTTGAAACCCATATATTACCATCAGTGGAACACATATAATCTTTTGGAACTGTAAGAAAGAATTCTGGACATATTCCTGGAAAAGGTGATCTAGGTTACTGGGGAATAAAGGTTATTTAAATAAATAAAGGTTACCTACTGCCCTCAGGAAAACAAGGGAGAACATTTTATTGTAAGTGTTTGACAACAGAAAATGTGACATTGTTGGAATATAAAGAAGCCTGTTAATTTGTCATTTTGTTTTAAATATTCAATTTCAAAATTTTAAAACTCCTGTCATAAAGGATGAAAATCAGTATCACTGTGCTAAACAATGCTTGGCAGTAAACACAGCTTTACCTTTAGCATTTGATCCAAAGCCTGCTGAAATTAGAGAGAACTTCTCACTGACTGCTGTGGGTTTTGCACAAGCCTTTGACAGGCTGCTTCCCAAGGGTGCCCCCATCTCTGGCCATGGGAAAGGTTTCCCTGGAGTTATTAGCTGCCCTTGCAGACACCAAGGCAGCTGGTCTTCTGGTGTTGCTAATGAACACAACCCTGGGGCAACCACAGCTCTCACTTTGCTCAACAGCAGCTCTTTCTGACCAGCAAGGCCCAAACCATCATTGTCCAGGGAGCAGTGACACATTGACTTAGGGACCTACCTTCAGCACACGGAGCCTGCTAGTGTTTGGCCCCAGGCTCAACCAGGCAAGCAGGAGGCAAAGGACTCTTACCTGAGCTGAGCAAGAAAAGAAAGAGAAAGGCAGCTGTGCTAATCCCCATTTTGGCCCAGCTGGCGGGTGCTGGAAGTTGTGTCTGTTGGTGCACAAAGTTTTATTGACTCGCACTGGAGTGAGGCAGCATCAAACAAACAAGGCAGGAGGATTAAGTTAATCATTCTCCTGTGCTGTGCCCCCCTATCCATGGTGTGGTTATCAAAACAACCTTGAATTGGATGGATTACCAAATCAGGCTCAATAATTTCTACTGGATACTGGGAAATGTGAAGGCACTTTCTTCTTTTGTGGGACATGTTTTTGCTTCTTTTATTTTTTTTTTCTCAGATTGCTTGGCATCACTTTGTTAAGGTAAAGATGAGGATCATAGTGGTGGAAAGTATGGGAACAAGACACAATCCACTCACCTAATTCTATGTAGTCCTGGGTATTCAGCTTTAGGTCCCAATAGTATTTCTAGTCAGAGACTTGGACTGCTTTAGATTGAAACTGCTGCTGATTTATGCTCCTGTGTAAGTTAGTCCCACAAAACAGAGCCTGATAATGCTAACTCTGTATCAGAATTGTTTTTAACAGCCTCCAATGCCCTTTATGGAGGAAAGAAAATTACTTCCCTCAGCTTTTTTCCATTTCTGGTTTAGTTTTTTGTTGTTCATGACTTCGGAGGCATCATTCACTTTGGTTCAGTGTATGATGTGCCTTTCACCTCCAGGCAAAGCTGCTGATATCTTAAGTCTGCCCAGACCTCAGGGTGTGTGCAGGTTTCCCATGCATTTCAGCAACATCTGTCACATCTGTCAAGCCCATGGGGCTCAGCTAAGGCAGGCATTGCCAGCCATAGTGCCTTCAGGAGCTTCCACTGCTTTGCCTGGCCAGTCAGGGTAGCCTTTAGCTGGGATTGGGAGGGCAGATGAGAAGGTGGGAGTCCTGCATATTCCCCTCTGTGCTGGGAGTCACTTGGGGTAAAGGCAGGGGTGAAAGGTACATGCCTCCAGGGCACAGGTGGGAAATGCACACTGGGCTGCTGAGGAGGCAGTGGGGAAGTGGCCTTTTAGTGGTCTTTTTGCCTCAGCTTTGTCACACTGCAGAGGGCTCTTAGCCAGTGTGTAACCTGTAGTGAGAACAGGCAGGAGTGACACTAGCAGGAGAACAAGTCTTTGGTCCAAACTGTTTTGTGGTGAGCTGTGTCTGTATGGCAACACATCCACAGCTCATCTGCATTCCAGCCTACAGTCAGGGTCTGAGCACACCATTCAACCTGTATCACATCCGACAGAAGGATATTCCTACAGGAATATTCCTGCAAGGCTTCAGAAAATAACCCAAAGAACCCAAAATTTCCACAAAGACATTCATGGTGGAAGCAATCACCACTGATTTCTGCTTGGCTGCCAGCCCGTCTGTACCCTCCAACCAGCATGTCAGCATGTGCATAGGTGAATCCTGGGGCCAGATGGCTGTGGAAGAGACAGGCTGTCCTCATGGAAGCCAGGCGCAGCTCACAGAGACATTATGGGGACATGAATGGGAGGAAGCAGGACTAGAGAACCATTTGGGGGAGGTGGGTAGAAGGGCATGCAGGACCTGAAGATTTCCCAGTTTAATACAGCAGAGAAGTGGGGTTACCAAGAGATGCAGTGGGACATGATGAGCAGGGATATGAACTCCAGGGAGCCAAGCCTCGCTTTTCCTGTCATTGACAGCCCTACATGCCCTGTCCTCAGATACCAAATGCCACAGACTACAGATGCAGAAGTCTGAAACCGCTCTAGATCAGCTAGCAAGTAGCATAGAAACGTCTTTTGTTTTGGAGCTAATTTAAATATTAGAACAATCAAAAGCAAAGAGATTTTTATGCCCATGTTCTAAAAACAACAAATAAAATCACATCTTTGTGACGAAAACTATATTGCAATCCCACTTCACTCTGTGTGAGATTTTCTGGAGAACGTGCTGTGCTGACAGTGTCCAGAGGGGTGCAGCAGACGATAGCTTTTGGAAAAAGTGAGTGACATTAAATCCCCAGCATGGAAAAAAGCGTCAGACCACACTCAGGATACGTTGTCAGGCAATGCTTGTCCACAAGCTAGCTCATATTGCTGCTCAAGTTTATAAGGAAATCTGTTGTATGCAAATATGCTTTGCTTTTCTTTCTCAGTTTCCCCTTTTCTTTCCCACCTTAATACAACAGGTTTCAGGTTGATTGGTTTGAACTTATATAAATAGGTTCAAAAGCTTTGTTTTCTCAATGCAATACTCCATATAAGAAAGACAACATGCAAGATTGAAATACAGATTAAAAACAGAATGAGAAAGAGTGAGGGGAAAAAAGTACACTGTAAGGTACTCAAAAACATAATAAAGGTTATGATGCAGTGAAAAATAGAGTCACCTCTTTGGAGCAGAGAAAACCTCACAATTTTGTGAGAAAATAGCACAGTTTTAATCAAAAATAGGAAAATTAGAAGGATGAGAAATTACTAGATTGAAAAGAAAAACTAAATATTGATAAAACAAATAAATGAGAGCAAGTTCAAAATAATGTTCTTAGAATTAATTTGGAAAAACACAGATAAAGAGCTGAACAGTAATGAAAACATACAAAAAAGAATTTGAATGTCCAGTATCAAATTACAAAATACTTTCTTTAGCCTTGCAGCTTAGAGGAAGAAAGATTTGTACACGCTTGTTCATTCTATACTTTTGCTAGAGAACAGCATGCAGCTCTGCTGCACTGGCTTGGAGTGTGTATTTTCTGGAAGAGTTGAGCAGGGGACTTGTTATTTAACCATGGTTTTACTTCCAGCCACTGAGTCACTCCATTCTGCCAGTGGAATCAGAGGGCTTTTAGACAGGCTTGTGTAAGTTTTAATCACCCTGTACTTGGCACTGGGAGGTCACACCTCAAGTGTTGTGTCCAGCTCTGGGCACCTTGCTACGAGAAGGGCATTGAGGCCCTGGAGCAAGTCCAGAGGAGGGCAATGGAGCTGGTGAAGGGTCTGGGACACAAGTCCTGTGAGGAGTGACTGAGGGAGCTGGGGGTGTTTAGCCGGGAGAAAAGGAGACTCGGGGAAGACCTGAAATTTTGCTTGGGGAGGTTTTCGGATCTTCACGACTAGAAACTTCAGAAACGGGTTTGATAAACATCTGACAGACATTTTAGATCTGTACATTTTCTTACACCATGATGGTTGAACTCAATAATCCTTTTCATTGCGTTTTTCTTCTCATTCTGTGAATTGGATTTGTGACACCTAAACAATTCCTCAGCACAGCTACAGAGCAACTCTCTATAAGCCATTACCAATAATGGTCCTTTCTCTGTTGAATGGCTTTTGCATCTTCTGTCTTCCTTCTCCACAAATACACACATGAAGAGAAGAAACACGTTGCCAGAACTCCAGACTCATTCACTTAAGAGTTGTGCTTGATGAACCTTGTGGGTCCCTTCCAACTCAGAATATCCTGTGATTCTTGAAATGCTCACATTCCCACAGCACTGTGTCCATTGGTTATATCCACACGCCCTGCTCAGCTGGCAGGCTGCAGTTCTGTGCTGTGGGTCTGTGGGTCACTCTCAGAGCCCTTTGGTTTCCTTTGGGAAAAGTACAGCACACTGAATCCTTGCCCCAGAAAGAATGACTGATCAGAACAACTCCCTTAAAAGAAAGAAAAATCTTTTCCAAATCACTCTGGGAACACACAGAAATCTCCTTTCTCAAGATATCTCCAGTATAAGCCTACAAGCAACATAATTTCATTCAGGTGACAGCTTCCTCTGCCCCAGGGGCACACCAAGCACGGTTGGTTTGCCCCTGCTTTTCACAACATAATTGAAACTTTTGGAGTTGCCTCACCTTGACAACTCTGTTGTTTTCAGCTGGTCTGCCCCCAGCTATGATGAGAGATGCAAGTCAGACTTGTTTAGGCCTGATCCCTGGCCTCTGCCAGTTCTGCAGCTGACGAGGGAGACTTTGTGTCCTGCTGGCATCCACCAAACTGTGCTCTGGCTCCCACCCAGCAGCTGCTTCAGGCTCTCATACACCCAGCTTCTCAGCACCAGCACTACAGGCATTACCTGCATGCTCCCAGGACTGCTGAAAGCTCTTTACTTGGAATAGCTGGATAGTAGCATTATCAGATAATAAAATGCTTTAGGAAAACATCTAGACTACAATGACCTTGCCAAATAAGAGACATACTCACTTTAGTTTATATGGCCCTAACATATTGGTAAATGAATGAGACCCACGCAAAGAACTGAGTATTCTCATGGAGTGTGCTCAGAGGTGATGCCCTTGTCCATAGTCATAAGCAGCTGGTTGTCCAGGCAAAACTCCTTCCAAAACTGTACATCACTATAGCTTGTTACCTTTGAGGAAGGTTTGAGGTGCAGGCCTAGAGCTCATTTCCTCCTGCAATTGTTTGTTCGTGTATTTTTTTCCCCTGCATGTGAATACCAAGAACTGAATCTTTGAAATTTAGTGCATACACCCAAGTTTGTGCCCTTTCTTATACTGGCTGAAGCCACCTAATCAGTCTCCCTTCCTCCAAACAGTATCAACTCTACAATATCCTTCCTGACTGCTGCTTGAACAATCCCAGGTTAAAAACCTCCCAGGACTCCCTTCTCAAGAAAGCAGCTAACAACTATCCTTACTGTTAAGGCTATGTCTAACCTAAAGGGTTTTGCCTTAGTATAGTTCTTTCATATCTTACAGCATGTGGGAAATTAGCAAGGCAAGAAATAACAGAATTACAAAAAAATAATAGTACTAGCCAGAAATAGTACAAGCCTCATAGTTTCTACTACCTCCTCTGCATGGATGTGTTAGGTTTACATAATATAGCAAATATAATGGCTGGGTTTTTTTGCAATGCATTCAGACAACTGGATGCAATACTAAGTTTGAAGTATATGCAGAATACCTCAAGTAAACCACACATAAATAATACACATATTTAATATTCATATTAATGATTAATATTCGTTCCATATTAATAGTGACTATCAGCACTGCTAAAGCAAGCAGGCACATGATGATAGTGCCTCAAAAAGCTGTTTGAGAAGCATCTGAGCTGAGGTTTTGTAATGACTGCTCGGAGTGTCTCATAGCCCCCTACAGAGCCAC